TGAGTTTTGTCACTCAGACAGAAGCTTGAAGTATTTCACCAATCAAATGAAGACTCATGTATTTGACAAATAGGATGGATCTCTTCATATTTTTAAAAATTCATGCTGGAATGGAAATGATTAGGTTTTTTTTTTTGCTCTGAACCCAGAGCAAACATTATTTAAGCACTCCAGAAGCAGCCGATAGGTATCGGCAGTCCAAGTGGATTGCAGCTCAGGTGGTCACCGAGGCAAAAACTTGGGTGTGGGAGGAGTTCAGAGAAACCATGGAAAAAGACTTCTATACGGCTTCGAGGCAATTCTTGTCCACCATCCGGAGTCTCGGGGTGGGGGGGGAGCAGTTCGCCACCAACACTATTTATGGTGGGGATGGTGCAATGCTGACCTCAACTCGGGACATTGTGGGTCAGTGGGCAGAATACTTCGAAGACCTCCTCAATCCTACTGACACATCTTCCCATGAGGAAGCAGAGCCTGGGGACCCTGGGTCGGACTCTCCAATCTCTGGTGCTGAGGTCACTGAGGTGGTTAAAAAGCTCTGCAGTGGCAGGGCGTCGGAGGTGGATGAGATTCACCCAGAGTTCCTTAAGGCTCTGGATGTTGTAGGGTTGTGTTGGTTGACGCGATTCTACAATATCAGTGGACATCGGGGGCAGTTCCTCTGGATTGGCAGACCAGGGTGGTGGTCCCCCTATTTAAAAAGGGGGACCACAGAGTGTGTTCCAACTGTAGGGGGAACACACTTCTGAGCCTCCCTGGTAAGGTCTATTCAGGGGTCCTGAGAGGAGGGTCCATCGGATAGTTGAATCTCAGATTCAGGAAGAGCAGTGTGGTTTTGGTCCTGGTCATGGAACAGAGGACCAGCTCTACACCCTCAACAGGGTCCTGGAGGGTGCATGGGAGTTCAATCAGACTACATGTGCTTTGTGGACTTGGAGAAGGTGTTCGACCGTGTCCCTCGGGGACTCTTGTGGGGGGTACTCTGGGAGTATGGGGTACCAGACCCATTGATACGGGCTGTTAGGTCCCTGTACAACCGGTGCCAGAGCTTGGTCCGCATTGCCGGTAGTAAGTCAGACTCATTTCTGGTGAGAGTTGGACTCAGCCAAGGTTGTTCTTTGTCATTGATTCTGTTCAAAACTTTTATGGACAGAATTTCTAGGAGCAGACAAGGTGGTCAGACTGACTATTTTGGGTGGGGTTTGAA